ACTTACACCACAGGTGATAATCACCTTTATAATAATCTAAATAAATCTATATATAGTAATTAATATAAAATATACTATGTAGTATAGTATATAAAATTATTCGGTATAACAATAGTATTCCAGTATTCGATATATATGTTGTGCATCAGATTAGAACTCGGTATCAGATTAAAATCATTAGGCCAGCATTAAATGATCTGCAATAATCAGCCTTGCTAAATTCTAGTCCTCACCCTAACTCTAACTCTAATTTAAGCCAGGTTTAATCTGACGCAGGTTTTAATCTGACGAATAACATATATAACAATGTTCAACAAATATATAGTAATAGTACGTATTCAGTATAAAATATACGATTCTAAAAAATTATATGCAGTATATAGTCTAAATAAGCAGATCAGTATAGTACAAGTCAAATTTATAAGCTATACCATAACTAATTAGCTATAAAGTGCTTATGGTATGATTCCCTGAAAACTACTTACCCGAAAGTTGATTTACCTGATATCACATGAGATGAAAATTTACTAATAAAATATACCTACAGCTAACTAAATGCTAAATTGTCACCCTATGTGATGTTGGGTAAATGGACTGTCAGGTAAGTAGTTTTTGGGAGAATTGAGCAACTATATATGTAAAAAATCTATACACTATCGCTACTGTATTATTATACGTAATACATACTATATATAAAAAACCAGATATATATATACGTACTATATATCGATAATTCAGAAATTTACATAACAAATAGCTACAGTATAATAGCATTTACCCTAACTACAGTATAAAAAAAAAAGTTTATTTAAAAAGATGAATAATATAGCTAATAGTAATTTATGTGATAATACCTTCATAATACATTGTAAGAAATTCTAGAATAATCTTTCAAAAGAAATTTTAAAGAATTCCTAGTATAACAACACCATATATAAACAAATCTCACAGATCTTATAAAAAGTAAAAACATACTAACAAAGTTATAATTCTATTAGATTCATATAGATTCAACAATAAGGAGTAAACATATTCAAGATTGCTACACTACATCCTAACCTTTATATAAATCCAAATAATAAATCAATTTGACAACTTTCTAACTTTACAAATCCTTAAAACTAATAAATCAAATAAAATCTATTCAATTATTAGCTTGCATTAGCACAGGTTCTAACATTGTGACCATAACTTCCACAATTAGCACATTTATTTTGTCTTTTTTCCTGTGTATTATCAGTATTAAGTCTATCTCGATTTTGATATGCATTACTAATATCTTCCAATACACCCTTGAATCATTGTTTTGGTGGGCGTCCACGATGCTTAATTACAATTGGATTGATGACTACAACAGATTCATGAGATTCAACATTATTTTTATCATTATTATCCTCCTCTAAAAGTTGCAACTCTTGTGTTTTGGAAGAAATGAACTCCTCCATTATTTTATAAAATTCATCATCACAATTGAGATGTATCATTAAATTTAATGCTTTTTTAGACATTCCATATCCTTTAGCCCAACGTGTCTTTTCACTAATTGATTTTTTCAAGGCAGGAGTAAATGTATTAGGAGCACGAAATTGAGACAAATATCCAAAATTAATTATATTGCTAACATTATTAAATGATAATAGTTGATTAGTTTCACCACATAGTCTAATAGGTTGAAGTGTTGCAATAAGATCTTCATCATTATTTATCTTATTACTTTTATACCATCGACTTGAAATAAGAGAAATGTGAAATCTAGCAAGATGAGATTTTGTCAGAACTTTAAAGAAATGACGACAAACAATCCCTTTAGTGATCAAGGTAAGACAAGTACATAAGTGCGTGCCATCTGCAAGTATTATGATGTGATTACTGAAATAATTTGAAAAAATTTCCTGTCGAGTTATATACCAGACCTGTTCAACATATTCTCTTCTTAAGTTTTGCAATAAGGATTTGAGATCTATCTGGAGCTGCTCATAATCGTCTTCACGACATTCATTATCTATAATATTCTCAGGTTCTGAAAAAAATTGTCCCACTCAATAGAAAGTTTAGCAGCATCATAAAGGAAGCTTTCGGAAAGTTGCTGACTTTGAAGTGAAAGAACATATGGAGTTAAGTACTCTCGGAGTAAGGAATCAATGGCTGAAAAATAATGACTTGCAACATGAGGTAATCCAATAGTAGGATTCATATTCTTTTGTTCATTTATTTGTGCGTAATGCGCTTCCTCATTTAGACGATTTTGTATTGTATCAACTAAATATAGTAATGTTGTACTATGTGAAACTTCCTTTTTAATAATTCCATTAATACTCTCTATTTGCTATATACTTTGGATACTAGCTGTGAAACGTGTTTGTGTATAACATATGGCCTAGCTATGACGCATAGAATAAAGTGTTTCAAGTGCATAGTGAAAAGCTTTAGGAAATGGTTCAAGAAACGCAATAAATTCCACCCAATGATGCTTAAAATTAGCCTCAAATAAACTATTACAAGAATGATAAAAAAGCTTATAACATTCATTAAAATTAGTACTCATAATCAACTTAAGTTTTTTAATAAAATTGTTGTTTATATGAAAGATACAATGTGAATGATGAGTATCTGGCCATAGATTTCTCAATGCTGCACCCATGGCTGGGTCCGCATCTGAGTAAATAGTTTTAGGAATAATGCTATTTGTTGCAGCATTTATTTGTTCTAGTACCCATTCATAAGAAGCCTGAGTCTCATCTTCTAAAATTGCTTATGCTGTGATACATGAACGAGTATCATTGTCAACAATTAAAAACAAGCACAAAGCCATTTCATATCGGTTTGTTTTGCAGGTGTTGTCAGTTATTACAATGTCACAAAATTGAGACCATAGCAACACTTGTAAAGGGGACATCCAAAAAAGTGTAGTTAACCTGTTTCCTTCATCAATTTTAGATACTACCACCTATTGAGGATCCTCTGTTTTTAAAGCTAATAAACGATACAAAGTTTCTGTAGTATCATTCTTTATTTTTTCAAGAGATGGTGATTTGAACCGTTGAACAGCATTATATATGTCCTTTTTATTAATATACTTATCAGGATGTCTCGTAAAATATTATATTGCATTTTAGCACCTATGCCTACAGTATGACAAGTATAAAACTTTATATTTTCAAGCATTTCTTCTGACAATCTGTGAAAGCGTGGTGCTGTTTGATCGATGATGGGATCTATTTCATGGTTATGTTTGTTAACAAGTGACGTACAAGTGATCTCAGTAGTACCCTTATGATTGTTGAAATTTACATGCCACTCACAATCTATTGCAGTAGAATGGCGTTTATGCTGCTTAGTAATGTCGACTATTTTTTTAGCCTTATGTACACGTGATTTAGAATATTCATAACTACGACGACGAATGCCTGAATTGTCTGAGTGAAAGTTGGTCCTACTTCGCTGAAAAGAAAAGCCTTTGAACTTTCTATATGATTCTAAAAATTTGTCCACTTCCTTCCACGTATCAAATGTAAAACCGATATGTAATTGCAACTGCGACTTTTCACTATTAAGATCATCTTGAGAACTGCTAAGATTAATTCATCATTACATACCATATGAATAAAATATACAACCAGAAAATTTTACTCACTTTGTCTCATTTTCTTCCTCATTTTCTGAGTTAAAGAATTGAGATTCATCAATCTCTAATGTCAAATCAACTGCATCATTTTCTGGGCTAATATTTAATAAACCAACGTGATATTATTGTCCATTAATAAAGCAATCAGTTAGAAATTAATTCAATGCAACACCACCAAATTTATTATTAACCTCTGAAAACTTCGTATTGTAGAATTAAAAGGTGTCGTCACGCAGTACAAATCAACAGCTACATTTTCTGAGCTAAAGAGATGAGAGTAATCAGCATTAATAAGCACCAACAATTAATAGACAAACATATTGGTTACTAACATTAATAACCAGTTAGAAATTAACATGC